TTACGAAATAAAATGTTAATCTCAAGGTATGTTTTAACCCCTTAACCTACAACTACGGGCATAGCCCGTAGTAGATGATCGGACCAAACGTAAATATTACGGGCATAGCCCGTAGTAGATAATTGGGCCAAAAGTGAATATTACGGTCACAGTCCGTAATACGATAATCGGGTCAAATATAAATATTAGCGGCGGCGCCCTCCTAAAGTTATAAATATTTGTGGAATATGTGATAAGTAAATCGTAGGCTAAGGGGTTAATATCTGTAAGTTTCTTCTAGTCTTATACAGGGTGAGCCGAATAACATTTAAAAGCGGGTACGAGGTGATTCCTTATGAAAAAATAGGAACAAAATATGGAGTAAACTTTGTTCATTTAAGGCTTAGTTTTTGAGAAAATCGACTTCGAAGATTAATCTGAAACACGTATGTTCACCATAGTAGTAAGTAGAAATGGAATGCAATGAACAGACGCGCTAGCCCAGTCCTATTCAACTGCCCTGTATCTAGCAGATTATCAAAGTCGATTTTCTCGAAAACTACACCTTAAATAAAAAATTTTTAATGCATATGGTTTTCCTATTTTTTCCTAGATATTTTAATATCTATACTTTTTTTTCAAATGTACAGATGTTAAGTTGGAAAATTGGAAAAATAGAATTAATTAAATTAAAAAGAAAAAATACAGATTTCACCAGTGACTGAACAATATTAAGTAAATAAACCTTTCTAACTAATGACGCGAGAATTATTTCCATATGAAACAAACAATTGAATAAAATCAATATTTAATCATTTGTTTATTTTAATAACTTAGTTTACACGTTTTTATACATAATGTTCAACCATTGGTACGTGTTTATTTACTATACTATTACTGCCTAGTAGGCCTAACACAGAATCCATATTTTCTTTGTGCAGAAGAAACTGTCACTCATCGAAACGATAATTTTCTACATATTTGTTCTCTCAAACTGACCAGTAATAACATGAATTCCCATAAACATCCGGAGTCCAGCGATAACGAATGATTCTACTGTTACACTGTAAAACTCTACGCGACGGTGTCATGTTACGGGACTTCCTCCTTCATAGAATTCCGCGAAGACCCAGTTAACGTGCATTATTAACACGTCGCCTCTTCGTCTTAACTGAAAATAAGCTGTCCTAACAGAGCTGACTTTCTCCGCGGCAGCTGAAAGGTTAGTATGATTCATGAACGTGATGCTTGCCATTTTCATTAGGTAAACCCGGACCTTGAAGAATGCAGTCTGCGCAAACTGTACAGTCGTGGGGGAAAAAAAGTTGCGGTCGAGAGAACGGGATCTTGAAAATTGAAAGATAGTCACCGAAAGGGTTCTCTCTGAACAAATTCGTGAAATTCTCAGGGACCCTAACTGTTATAACCACGATTTAAAAAGTAACGGTATAAGAGTTAATATCTTTGTGTGAATAATTTTGGTCACGAATAACCACTATCAATGACAGAAATTGATTTTGGTTGCACGTAACCATTATCGATGACTAGAATATTATTTTGGTTACCGATAATCATTATTGATGACAGGAACTTTTTTTTACCTGGCAACCAATATCCATGACGAGAGTTTTATTTTGGTTACTTCCTATCATTGTCAATTTTTATTAACGTTATTTTCATTAACGTATATATATTTTAAATCAAAATATATAAATTCTACAATTCATTTTGCGGTACTGATAGAAACGTTAATAAAAATTAACGATAGTCGAAAGTAACCAAATTAAACTCTTGCCATAAATATTGGTTACCGCGTAGCCACAAAAAAATTCCTGGCATCGATAATGGTTATCGGCAACCAAAATAAAATTCTCTTCATCAATAATGATTACGTGCAACCAAAAACAATTTCCATAACAATTTCCGTGACAAGTTTTTTTTTCCGTCGCTTTAAATTATAGAATTTTGTTTTTTTTTTTAACATTATGGCGACGAAAGGAAATTCCAGGAATTTGGTTAATAATTTTCTCACCATTATTTCTTCTTTCAACTAAGTATGTAAGTTCATAAAGAATCTTACATATAAAAATCGTATTATTTCACACTGTTTGGTCTTCAGTGGGTTAACGACGCAATTGAACCAACTGAAATTACAGAAATTAAAATATGGCCACTGATGTTAAGTCGAAACGGACGATTTTCTCGGATAGACGTACAAAAGGATCCAGAAACGAACTGGTTGCAAGCACGCTAACGACGCGATTAAACTGATTGGGATCATAGAAATTGAACTAGGGCGTAACAAGGAATTGTCGTCTTCGATGGACAGAGTCGAGGAGGATTTACCCACGTGACAGGAGTCGGTCGATCAAGATCGAGATATACGAATACAACGTCGCACGCAATTAAACCAATGACGAAGATGCAACGTTTCCGTTAATCTGCGCCGGGGGAAAAAAAGGACGCTCGGTCGCGTAACAGAAATAACAGGAAGAAGAGAGCCAATTGAAAGTCGTGTTTTTCTCGATGGCCTTCGGTGATTCAGGGGTGTTCGTGCTCGAGATTTCAAAAAATATGTATTTCGTTCATGAGCGTAGCCAGGTAATCACGAGGGGGAGGGGGGTGGCAAAAATATTAACACATCGAATACCACAGTGGAAAAGGCCGTACGTAGCCAGACACACTTTATTTTGTTTTAGTCATAAATCCTTGAAAACGTATGCGTTCTGTTAATAGAGGCTGTTGGTCGTGTGTCAAATTATACTGCAATAATAATAATAATAATATTTATTTTCACGGGACAAAGCCCATTAATTTACAAAAATATTACATTAAATAGGTGATACCTCTAGAAAGATACATATGTAACTAGTAAATCGGAATATTTAACTTAAAGTCTGGGGCGTTCTATTTCCCGATAGATTTTAGTCTTGAATACATTTGCATCCGGAGTAAAAAAATCAATTTGGTTGCTGTAATTATTCGCTAGCGTACAGATTCTATTGATTGAGTCACTAATGTTAAATCTGGATGTGTATGGTGAAGACGTAAAAAGTAGGGGAACTCTACTGGTCGTGCCGGAGTATTAAAGTTTATTAGTGCCGTAATCTTTGCATTATTTATTTGTCTGTTAATAATATTAAATATTACGCAAAAATTTTGTACCTCTGGAAAGGGAGGGGTGGGGGCAAAATCCAATTTTTTTTCTTGTAGGGTGGGGCAAGGGACACTTTTTTCCGTCCAGGAGCGGGCAAGTGCCCCTTCCTACCCCTGGCTACGCCCATGATTTCGTTTCCACGGGTTGTGGCGGCGTTGTGTCTCGATCTTATCTGATATGCATTCCGGCCGCCACGTTGTTCCGTGTGTGTTTGCATCTCGATGCATGATTTCTTTGAATTTAAGGACGCACGTCTCGCTCGGCGCGGAGATCTCGTGAATCCTACTTGATCGTAATTTACGAGGTGTAATTCACAGTGAAAGCGAGACGACTGACAGTTCCTTTTGTCGAGAATTGGAGTCGAGGCCTTCGGAGAAGCGTTTTCCCAGGCGGTTGTTCGACTGGAGTTCGAGCGACGTACAGTCCCTGGCCGAAAAATTAGGGTCGTCGATAATTTTTCAAAATTTTCACGGTATTCGTAGAATTAAACGGCCAGAACGTAATTTGATAATACGAAAACGTCTGTAGTTTACTTAACCCTTGGAGTACGGTTACCGGGTCTACTTAGACCCGAATGTTTGAAATCGTATCTCACTCAGCGATTTGTAAATTTAATTTATGCTAGGAGATGTTCATATTTAGTCATGTAAAAAAAAGCAGGTGTTTCTTTTTTTACACTTGGATGCAGTTATTGAAATGATTACGTTTTGTCATCAGACATCAAATTTAAAAGATGATCCACACGAAATTAGTGGTGAAATCTTAAAAGATTAGAATTATTTATATGACTTATAACTTAGGTAAATTTGCGACACGACTTCCTAAAAATCATGAATTTTATGTCCAACTCTATTTATGATTACAATAATATACGTACTTACTTGGCGGGATGAAATCGTCTTTTGTAAAGTGTAATGAGTATACTCTCATAGATGACGATACATTCCAGCCCATTTTTAAAACTTTCACCCATGCACTGAAGCGATCAATAATTTCTTCTTGATTTAATTTATTTTCTAATTTCACCAAGTTTAGTTTTTGCCGGGGAAAATGGTAAAAGCGAACAATATCATTTCTACATGCACGGCTGCCACAGCCGAACACACAGCAATCTATTTTACTTTTACTTTTTTCTAGGAGAAAATTCCATTTTATAACTGTTTAAATAATTATGACCTATTATACCGATTAATTTAAAGGCATTACGAAAATTTTTGCTTCATTAATAATCTTCAAATAAAACAACGTACGTTTAGTAGAAACTTACACGCAATAAAATTTATTATTAAACTACTTTAACAATTCGAGGGCTGTTTAATCTACATGCTAGTTACTTCGTGGCGAGGGATCGTAGTCGCCCTAGTATCGAAAGGGTTAATTGGGAAAAGTGGATTTATCCGCCTTTGCTTGTACTTTTATATCACTTCATTTCAATAAGATTATAAAAAAAAACAGTCTTTTTATTTTTAATAAAATTTAAAAATTGGAATTCTCACCACCTTTTTCAGTAGAATGCTCCACGGTGTGCTGCTTGCGAAAATTCTTGCCCATTTAACCTTGTTACGAGTCTTGGGATCTATTTCGACCCAATCACGTTTTCGTATCTTTAACGTTGCTAGGATTTTATATATTATTTTCTATTAATCTTAACTTCGTCCCTGTAGAAATGTCCTTGGATACGCGAAATGGTGAGGAAATTTTCACTGATCTTTGTGTTTCTCCTTCCTCGTCATTATTTCGTACGTATAGCTGGACTGAGGACTGTAGCAGGGTTAAAGCTCCGCTAAATGAACGAATCCCTATACCAAATTCAAAACACTAGAATATTTCATAAAATTAACGAATTTCTGATTTTTTTTTGCAGATTCCGACAGCGAGAGCAAAGATGGCTCGACAACCCAGGAGAAGAAGCACGGCCGTGTCTCTCAGCCTATCAACACCATCGCCTACACGGTGAGTAACGATTTCAAGTGTCGAAGTGTTAAAGAGTTAATGAGATCAAATAATGGTTTTTTCCAAATGTCGACTCATTCAGGAAGAAGTATTATTTTGTTATAAAAATTGGAATTTCCACGTTTAAACTATTACAAATGACGAACTACTTTTTTTATCTTTTATTCGTTATTCAAAACTCTTTATCTAGATAATGAATTTCCCATCTCTAATTTTAACAAAGATATATTTTGTTACTGAACATTCATTAACAAGAACATATTTTATTAACGATACCGTTTCGATATCGAGTATTTTTAATATCGATACTTTCGTTTCGATACCCAGTACCTATATTTCGCAACTGGAAGTATCGATATTAAAAGTACTCGGTATCGAAACGAAAGTATCGATATCAAAAATACTTGGTATCGAAATGAAAGTATCGATGTTAAAAATACTCGGTATCGAAACGAAAATATCGATATTAAAAATACTCGGTATCGAAACGAAGGAATCCATATTAAAAATACTCGGTATCGAAACGGAACTATCGATATTAAAAATACTTAGTATCGAAACGAAACTATCGATTATTTACTTGTATTTACTGGTATCGATTCATCCCTAATCGCAGAAGCTCGGCGTGGCAGACAACTGTGAGCTTGCCACGGTGAGCTCGAAACGGTAGTCGATAATAATCGTCGAAGACGATTGGGTGTCAAGGAGAGGACGAGCGTGTGTAACCTCTGTGTCCCGACACACACGTGATTAGAAACGTCCATTAGAAACATTCATTGGTCTTCGATTCGTTGTTTGTTCCCTCTGATTTATCCGCGCCGCTCAAAATACTTTGGTGCAATTCGATTTAATCACGTTCTATTTATTCCGTGCGGCAATTTACTCCCCGTTCGTTTGTACATGTTGTTTTTAAATAATTTTGAAATGAAACAATATAAATATACAGGGCGAGACGATATGAAATATTATCTAAAATAATACAACTTATTGGTTGTATCGAACAAAGTTTCAAATGAATTACGATGCATTAGAAGAGACTCATCAAACGGATGCAATTCGATTTTTTTATGTCTCATATTTTCTGAAATATTTATTATTTTTAATCGTTATTATTTTCATTATTATTTCTTTTACCAAATTTGAAATACAAAAATAGCAAATAATTAATTATTTGAAATTGTTATTATTTCAAATCAATCGATAGTATTTCTACTTTCAAATAACAGTATTGAAAATAAGATTCTAAACAGAAATTACAAATAGTTATTTCTTATTTTCATTTCAAATAAAATTAGCGCATGTCTGCCCGAGGATAAATGATACCGCTCCAAACCAAAGTCTTTATCGCGCCGCCGAATAGCAATCGTTTGCAGAAATTTTGTCTGCAAATTTCAAAAATGAGTAGATAAGATTGATGAATAGACACGAGAGCTCTTATCTCTCTATATAAGCGGAGCCCAAAGTTCCGCCATCGCCCGAAGGAATCGACAGAGCCCGTATTCATCGATCATAAAACTTCCGAAACTTCCTCGAAAGAAATTTATCCGATGAACGATGTCGGGAAACTGAGTCGAAGACAGCGGAAAAATGGAGTCTGTTGAGCGGAAGAGACGAGTTCATGAGTGTCTCGTTCGTTTAAACAAGCACGCACGGCACGCAGAGGATTGCTAGAGTCGAAGACTTATCGCGGATGATTCATCATTGTCACGGAAAGACACTCGATACCCGGAGCGTTCATGTTCACCGATATAAAGCGGTTGATCATTAATTATCCGCACGCGTTTCAGACAATTAGCAGTGGAACATGATCCTTTCCTCTTCCGTTTCGTGTTTTGGAAAATAAAACAGATCAAAATCCGACACTGGATCGAGAAGGACACTGTGTGAGTGTCGGAAATGAAAATGCTTTTTATTCGGAGTATTTGAAAATACATCGATACTGTATTTATTTGTAGACTGAAATCTTTATTAAATTCTTTGCAATTCGAATTGCATGTCAAATTTGATTGTGACATAGAGTACATGGTGATAACAAAAAAAAGAATCTATGACTTTTAGGGGCTTAGAGCGAGAATAGTAAAAAATGTCTAATCAATATAGGCTCTGAAATTCATCCTTTCGATAAAAAACCTAATCTAGACCTTCTTTTTGAACACCCTGTATATGTAGAATCGAGAAGAATTTAAAACCGTTACATGATGTTTAATTTCCTTCGACTGTATAGGGAATGTTTTTTTTAGTTAAAATCACGAAAACGTGTTGATTCAATAGTATCTTGTTTCAGAAGTGAATTTTATGGTAGTGATTGTATATTTTTTTTTCATAACTTGCTAATACTTTCTATGTAATTATCCTGTCTCATTTTTTTCCTTATTGTGCATAAATCTTTAAAACATATGGATGTTTCAAAAACTGAAGCCAATCAAGAAAAAATAATGGGATATTCAGGATCAGGAGCACTGAATTACTCAAAATCCACTCTTAAATCCCTGGCAGTAGATTGACTATTCCCCTGTGTAATTCACTTGAACCAACCAGTGAACTAACGATCTCGTTAAATATTTTTAAAGCTTCCATTTTATCACTGTTATAAATTCAGTCTGGTCATTATATAAACTACGTTAAATTCCACTTCAACACGTTCCATCGCAATTTTCTGTAAATACACGAAGTTCGAAGCTTGTTCATAACTGTCCGCATACGAAATTGTTGTGCACGCGTTTCGAGGACTGTGTACACTCGTCTTTAACATTAAAATTGCTGGAAAATTCATCGCGTGACAAACTCTCGTTACGGGATCCGTTTAACGGGAAACTTCCGGGTTGAGTACGGGAAAGACGCGGGGAACACTTGCCATGTAACAGCAATCCTGAAATCGTGAGAACGGAAAATGCGTCGCTTGAATGCTGGAACAGCGGGATGCTCGAAAACACGTCGTACAATGGTCGATTCTTCTCAAAAATGGGAGAAAAATTAGAAAAAAATTATTTTAAATTATTCTGTCATTTAATTTATTAATATCTAATACGAATAATTGACAAGTTTTTTTAAAAAAATTGAAATAATTGCACATTAGTTAAATCTTAATAATCATTTTTCTATTCCACCGAAATATGTTCCAAATTGTTTAAAATACTGAAAATCTGACTTTAAAGTGTGACAATAATCAACGAACTATTTAAATAACAAGTGCAATTTGTAATTTAGCCTTTAACACGAATACTAATGAATACTAATATGAATTAATCTTCTTCATCGAGCCAAACGAGTTAACTCGTCATTTGAAAATTCTTTTCCGGGCAAGACGAGTTAACTCGTCATTTGTAAATTCTTTTTTGGGCAAGACGAGTTAACTCGTCATTTGAAAATTCTTTTTCACCGAGTAAAACAACTCAATTCGTCACTATTATTAAACAGTTGCCCCCCTTGAAAAAAAATATTTAGTCTCCCGCTGTACTTTCACATTTCTTTTGTTACACTCTCGAACTATCTATTGTCTGTTTCAGTATTCTATTTCGATCAGAAAAATAACGTCAAGGACATACATTCATGTCTGGTCCGGTAAGACGAATTAACTCGTTCTCTGTCATTTATCATTACCCAATAAAGTTATCGAGTGCTTTCGATCGAAAAATGTTAACAGGTCAATTGTGTATAAACGAGGACACTTTCGTGAGTGTAATTTAACCCACGTTTTCGTGAATTGTCGTTTTCGATCGAAATACGAGCTGTAAATTGGGGGTTTTCGTGTAAAGGAACGACGAGTGGAAACAAGCGTAATAACGATGATTATGGATTTTTCGATTATTTTTCGTTTAAATGGATCGTCAAATCGGGATCGTTGCATGAAATGCAATTCGCCTGGGGGGGAGACGCGGTGAGATTGCTCAGGCAGTTTAAAACATTGCGTAATAACTCGCTTTACACTTTCCTGAGCGGACGCACACTTTCTCGGCGCGCCGTGCACGCGGGACACGCGCTCGCCGCGTAATCGATACATTTCGCGGGTTTAAAAGCACTTCGATAGACATTTCGTACCGTTTCAATATGTATAAAAGAAGAAAACCAAGATATTATCCAGGAACTGCGACTATTTTGTCTGCAATTAATTTCCTAATATTTGTCCAGTGAAATTTCAATCTCAAAGTCGTCGATAACTTTCCTGTCTTAGATAGTGACGGTTACGAAATAATACTTAGGTACATAGATTTAATAGCAGTTAGTAATTAGCAAAAAGGTTGCCACTTCTCTGAGTTTATATTTGCATTATTTCTTAGCATCAAGTTGAAACCGTAATATACTGGGTTTTATACAGCTTTTAAATTTCTATCAAATTATATTTAAAACGCAGACTAAAGTTTTAAGTTCATGTTAAAAAATGATAAAAATACAAACAATCGAAAAAATGGTAACTTTTTTGTCCGTTTCTGTACGTATATGTACGTTGGTGTTACTGTGGATGTTTGTACATTTACAGCATCCTCTACCTTGAAAAGTACAATAAAGTAAATACTTTAATAAAGTTTAATAACATTTGCGTGTTATTGCTAACGCAGGCAAGCCTGTGGTAATTAATTTAAAATTTTTATTGATTTCAAATTTTTTGAATTTATTTTAGAAATTTAATTCTTAGATATTCGTATCTGAAATTGTGAATTTGCATAAACTTCCACAGTCTAATTATTATTAATTACGTAATGCAAATACGAGGAATGGAAATCATCTAGAAGATTTTCTTCATTCTTTATTGTATAGAACCATGCGATGTATATCACAAATCGATCATTTAGTTAGAAGCAAAATGTAAAAGGCAAGAAATTCTCAGTCACATAATAAAACAGGCCACGGTTAGATTCCCCGGAGTTGTTCGTGTTACAGCCTAAGTGAAAGTGATCGCAATCACTAACAACAAAATTATCCGAAAGCAAGGCAGCTGTTTTCGTTTTCCTACAGTCTGGTGACTTCGCATATTTCTGTATGTTACTTTAAAGTGAAACATT